ACATAACATTGAATTTAAATTAAGCATACTTGTGGTTTAGGTGAGATTAACTTGTTTGAGCTCCAATTAGACTCTAAAAGGGTAGATTGGTGAAGGATTTCTCTTTCTCCTCTTTTCCTCTAAATTTTTGAATTTGATCTTTGAATTTTTTTCCTTGAGATTTTTGGCTTCCCACTTAAAATTCAAGCTTCTTCCACTCGATTAGAGATGGATAGAATTTATTAAAAATGTTTTAGCTGATTTTTTAAGTAAATATTTTGTAAGAGTTTCTTTTGTGTTTTTCAATTTTTTCACTACTTTTTATTTTTTCAGCAACTCTATTTATATGAAATTTTGTGGACTTATTGACCTCATCTCCAACCTTAATGTGGAAAAATATCAGCTCGTTAATTCAATTTTCAATCACTTATTTGCATTTGTCCTAATTTTTAGCCATTTATTCACCTTTTTATTTAACCCTTCCAAATTGCTTTTTTTCACGATAATTTTTACCGAAAGTCAAACTTAATTAATTCTCTAGGTTAGGCAAAGTGGGGAGGAAAATGACAAATTTTGGTCATCTAAGTTCCTAGACTTTTCCATAGCCCATTCTTTCCTAAGTCCTTCTTTTATGCAAAAACTCACTTCTAGTCCTTCCTTTTTAGTTTTTAGGACTAATGTTTAACCCTTAACATTCTCACATAATTTAAATTTTATTATTAAACTTTTAATTTTATGCAATTGAGTCCCTAATTTTATGCAATTTAGTCGCTACTTTTAAAATTCCATTCTATACTTTTCAAAAATCAAATTTCTTTCTAGAATAAATTCAAAAATTAATTAAGGTAGTTTGATTTAAATTTCATAATTTTTGTCACTAATTTGAGCCTTCAATTTATTTATTTAGTGTGAAAATTACACTATTCCCTATACTTACTAAAATTAATTTAAATTTTCTAGGCATTCTCACACATCCTATATGATTACTCTATTCTCTTAAAAAAAATTTCTCATCTCTTAAGTCTGCCTAATAAAAATCTTTATCTCTAAAAACACTATTTCTACACTTAGAAAATTCAATGAAATATTCACCATATGTAGAAAAATTCATAAAATCATATAAAATAATTTAACACCCTTCTAAAAATTATTATAAAAAAAAATTCATACACAAATACACATGCTTTAATTAATTTTCTCATGTAATAACTACTATTCATGTACCGAAAAATTACTAAAATATTCTTTAAGCATGAAAAACTATTTTGACCGTTCTAAATATTCTTTTAAGTGTCGAGTAATTATTTCTCATTCTCAAATATATATATATATTTTTCATACTGGTTTTAATATTAAACTTTTATTACATTCTTATTTTAGCGATTACCAAGCATTACATCTTTTCTTTTAATTAAAGGTATAGGGTTTTGAATTTTTCAATTGCACCCTCAATTGGTTTTTTTTTTTTTTTTGGTTTTCAAACTTTCTATTCTTTTTTAATTAGACCCCTATAACTAATTTTAACCATTTTTTTTAAATTGACCTCTTCTCTTTCATTTTTCTTTTCTTGCCAAGATTTAAAAGAAAATGCTATGGGGTAAAAAAATAGGTAATAACAAATATTATACTCAATTAGTAAAATTATTAAAAATGTGTAAATGAAAATTAATTTATTAATGGATTTTACCTATATTTGGATCTTCTACTCTTCAAATTATTTTGATTGAAACTCCATATTTTTTTCTTTATCATTGAGACTCTCTACTCTTTATTTTGTATTGTTTGAGACTCTTCGTTATAACACTATTAGTTTTGAGTTGACATGATGCTAACATAACACATCTAGGGATAGTCATTTGGTTTTTCGATTCGGTTTTATAGTACTTTAGTTCGGTTTTTGATTAAACAAACCTACAAAATTAAAAGTCAAACCCTAACGAAATTTAAATTTAGTTTTTTAGTTTCAACTAAACCTAATATGATTATTTTTTATATTCAAAGAGTACAAAGATTTAATTAAAACGATTCGAAGATTGCATATATTAATTTTTTTTAATTTTCATGTTGTTGTGTTTTTAATACCTCATCATGAATTGAACGAAATTTATCATATATGAGATGTCATCACACTAAAACTCTAAAGAGTATTTGAAGAAAATATTATAATAATTTTAAAAAATAAAATGAATACAAAACGAATCTAATATACAATTAAAAAAATAAAGTACAAATATATTTTTCAAATTTAAAATAAAAACAATTGTAATGTTGACTAATAGATGATTATTTATATCAAAGAAGAAAATGTGATATGATTAAGGATTTTTTTTTTTTAGAACAACCATATTTTCAATTTGAATTAGTTAAATATCAAAATTTCTTACTTTTTAATACCCCTATATTTATTATCCATTTATTAATCACTAAAAATTATTTGTCAAAACATTTCATTGTAATCCTTGTAGTTTTCAAAAAGTTACTTAATCCTTAAAATTAATATATATTTTTTTTACAATTTAATCCTTTATTTATAAACTTTTAGTCATCAATATTTGCATAAAAAATATTTTAGACCCGACTTTTTTAAATTTTATGCAATTAAATTCTTATATATTAATTTTTTTAAAAAGTAAAATCTCACGTATAACACGTGTCACACAATCGAAATAGATGCACCGACCATCGTCACATCAACTCAAGATCTTTTAATATAAGATCTCAAACAACACAAAATAACAAATAAAACATCTCAATCAATAAAAAAAACCCAAATATCTCAATAAAAACAATTCGAAATGTAGTGAACAAAATCCATTTAGGCTTATTGCACCAAAAAAGCAAAAATTTTATACTTTTTAGTTATATTAACACGTTCTTTCAATATTATACATAAAATATACAAACTAATCTTTTATTAATCATAACAACAAGCATTTTTTTTGTTTATCAAAATTATGTTAACATTTAACATGACATAAAAAAACATTTAATAAGAAAGACTAAAAGTTCTTGTCACATCATATATTAACATAATTTTCACCGAAAAAAATCATAGGTAGTAATATGATTAACAAAAACTTAATATATTAATTTATATATTTTCTTTTTAATATTAAAAAATGTGATAATATGATTAAAAAAATTAAAGTTTAAGCTTTTTATTGTTTATACAATAAACCATCCATTTAATAATAGCTAGTTGTTAGCTACATTATTTACTATCGTAAAAAATCCTAATCTACTATAATTACAACTCGTTTTCAAATTAAAACTATCCTCAACACTACACTCAAAACAAGCATCACATCCTCGTTGATGGTGACACCTTAATTCAAACCTTCCATCATCCGACCAAATGACACCTCCTCTCGCCTCATTAATTATTATAGCATTCTCTCTTTACAAATACCCCTTCAATTTGTATACTAGATTATTTATCCACCTTATGATGCAGATTTGATAAAATATATAAAATAATTATTTTAGTTTAATAACCTATTTTATGATATGAATTTATAAAAATATATGAAATCAAAGATGAAAAAAATATATTTATAATTTTTTTTAAAAAATTTATATTTAACTATTTCTTATTTGTGTTTTTCATAATTTTTTCTTTACAAAAAAGATTTATCCTTGTTAATCCATGGACTATTAACTAAAAAAAAATTACGTAATTTTTTTAAAAAGCTTTAGTATTTCATAAGATTGTGTCGAAAAAAAATAACAATTATTAAAAGTTTTCATAGAATTGAACAAATATTTTTTTTTATTTAATGTTGATGAGAATATAGATTTATAATTAAAAAAAGTGAATTTAATTTTTATATATTTATTTATAAAATAATGAATAATATTAAAATAAATCAAAACTGCAAGTAAAATAATTTTAAATTAATGGGGTGAGAATTTAAAAAAAATGACAAATTAAATGAGTAAATTTGAAATAATAAAAAATAATTAACAAAAAATACTAAAACAAAATGAGATTAAATCACAATACAATTAAAGTTTGAAATTGAAAAAAATATATGAAAAAATTAAAAACTATATAATTTTAAATTAATTGGATGAGAATTTTTTTAAAAAAAATGACAAATTAAAGTAGTAAATTTTAAATAACAAAAATAATTAAAAAAATACTAAAACAAAATGGGACCAAAATCACAATACAATTAAAGTTTGAAATTGAAAAAAAAAAAACAAAAATTGAAGAACAACGTGTAACAAAAATAATATGAATAATGAATGAAATAGTGATTTGTGAGTATTTGTAACAAAAATAATATGAATAATGAATGAAATAGTGATTTGTGAGTATTTGAAAAATGATTTATGAGTGTATCAACAATATTATAAATAATAAAATATTATTTAACTTTTATATATATATATAACCATCAATGAATTGACAGAGGAATTAATAACCATTAACTAATCTTGTTATTATTTTTGGGAAGGGTTAAGTGGGGAAGTGGGATATTAGCGAGCTAACAGGAAGCTACACCACCTCCAGTTAGTTACGCGGCTGCCAGGACCTGGCTAGGTTCAACCCAGAAACAGACCCAAAAAAAAAAAAACTGTTCATTAAACAGTGGTATGAACAGTAAAAAGTTCCTTGTGTTTTAGACTGTTAGTAGTTTTAACTCATTTGTTAACCTGGTTTCTTGTTTCATTATTCATCTAATACACTACCTGGCTGAACACTTGATCAAAATTACCTACGCTTCCTCTCCTACTCGCATCCGTACTCAAGTATTATCTACCCAAAACATTTTCTCGCCTCTTGTCCCACAAATTTCTTCCGTCAACCAAAATCACAATAAGTTTATCTACAACTAGCTAGAAGCTCATTAAACGAACAACGAAGTTTGCAAACATAAATGTCAAAAGTTGATTCTCGATTAAAACTACACAACTTGGATATTTGTAACCACAAGGATGAAAGCAGCACGGTTGACCAAAATCAAAATCACGAAAACTTGCCAGAAATCGGTTAACATTGACGTGTGGTCGTTTACCTAGCACTCTGACCGGTTGCTCATAGGTCCCCCAAATATTGGTCTCATATACGCGTCGTCGAACTTCTTCCAGTAGTAATGTATAGTATACACAGGCCTTTCTACTAGGCTGGACAAACTATCCTTCGCACGAAGTATGTTGGTTGCAGCAGATTCTTCCAAGGACAGCAATGGCAGAGTCTTATCTTCCTTCGGAGACTTTGGTTCCTGATCCTTGTTATGGTTATTTGAGGGTTGGGGGATCAAGTAATTTATAATTGGTTTTGTAAGAAAACCAAACACCTAAAATCAACACAACAATATTATTAACGAAGTCTGATGAGCTGATGTCATTAAATTGGATTTGAAACAATCCTCTCAACTTCCATTTAGATATGATAAAACTTCCAGTCCTAGGCATGCATACTGCTCTTTGAAAATTCTAAATTGCAAAGGAAAGCAGATTTGAAATATGAGATTTTAACATACCAATGTAGTAAAGAGGACAACAATGATGGTATTGGTGACCAACGTAGCATTGACTGGATCCCATGTAACTCCAGAATACGTGAACTTCGCAAGCCAATGAAGAAACAATGATCGGAAAGTATTAATGTTGCATTTGCTACTTCGAGTGTACTCGTTCTACCTAGAAAATCTCGTACTGAAAAGAATACGAACCTGTTTGAAAGCCAAAGCAATGGAGACGGCTCCTCTCATTAACCCAGCCCACCAAACAATTACCTGGAGAGATAGCAAGTTCAAAGGCCAGTATGCATTAGTGAGTGGAATTCCTCTGCCCAATTATATTCAGAAAAGTTGCCATGACAGTCATGAAACTAACTTGGTATTTGAATGTAAGCGGTAACCTTCTCCTCCTATTCATTAAATTGGAAAAGGAAGAGAGGGAAAACACAAATGCAGCTCGCCCAAGTAATATTAGCAAGATTAGAGTGCTACAGATGCCCATTGAAGTCCCGAGGCTGCACAAAAAAGAAAAAAGAGAGGGAGAGAAGAAAAATTTCCTCCTTCTATTGACAAAATACACTAAAAATTCCTTCCCAACTAATTTCTAGTAAAATTGCATAAAATATAAGTGGATTAATTACTCCAAACGTTACCCAACAAGCTGCATGCGAATGAATACGGATTATGCATGTTTGAAAACCACTCAAAATATAATGGACTATGCAAGATATTTAAATTCTGAAGACTATTGATTTGTACATCAAGCTGAGTTATAGACCATATATAGTACTACCTCAACTTCGTCATTTTCCATTTCTCTATGTCGAGAGCATCCATGCCCACATAGAGAAATATGAATGTTTCTGCTATAAAGGACATCATTGCAAATACATGCCTGCAAGAAGGCAATAAGCGTAGAGTGATGAGACCAAAGCACTTGAGATGATAGCTAGGTCTCTCAAAGCACATCAGAGAAGTTATATATTGGTAATCTGACTTACGTGCCTGGTTGTGATTCTTGAACTTTCAGTCACATTATGCCATGCATAATGTGACATGAGAATCCCACAAATGAAGACTGTGAGAATTCCACTTAGTTCTAACAGCTGTACCATAAAAAAGTAGAATGCATAGGTTACCCAAAATCGTCAGCCTACTATTTACTTGACCAGATGAATACGCTTTTGAGCAAATTAATGTTACCTCAGCCAACATGTAAGACAGATATGCCATTAAAACCATTATAGCTATTTCACGAACACTTGAATGTCTGTAACCAACGTTAGTTCAGGATTTTATAAGTGCCACAATTTGGATATAGAAAACTCAGACATTCCTTTTTCATAAGCAACAGAAAATATATTTCTGGGAAAGTACTGACCTTCCAAAGTATAATCTTTTAAGTACGTATGCTGTCAAAAGTCCAGACTGCCAGTGAAGGGGAACAAGTTAAACCAAGACGGAGAGAAATCCAGACATATAGCCAGACATGCATAGCCACCAGAGTGTAAGAAATGCCCAGCAGGAAAAATTAAGTTTTAAGACGAGATATTTCCATAAAAGCATACTGTTTCTCTCGTGCATATGTAATATGCAAAATGAGGTTAATGTGAGAATAGGAAATCAATAATTTACTGCTTCCTTGAACATTCAGGTCTTTAAGAATGTAACCGATACCAAAGCAAGATAAAACTACAGGAACGAGTTTAGAGATGTATCAGATGAGAAACATGCAGAGACGACGAATTCTGGAGGCCTGTCTTCTGGTATCCTATTGAATTTCGCCAATTAGTTTAAAAGGTCTGTCATTAACTTCCGGTCCGCACTATCAAAGCTACACAAGGAATCGGCTAACCAAATTTATTTACACAACAAATTTGTAGGAAAAGGATGGTGAGAATATAAGACCAAGTAGTGTAATCTTCTCTCAGAGTTCAGTGAAGACTGGAAAAATTGCTTGTTGAGAAAAGGATGTTTTGTGAGATGTAGATTCTCAAACTCACAGAGATTCCCAGAGCAGTGCTTGTTGAGAAAAAGTAGAAGAAATCTCCAATGACGTGAAGGACTTGCGATGCATTAAACCTGGTTACATCCATCTTTTGAACAGCATTAAAGAGAACAACTGATGTTGCATCATTCACTACTCCTTCTCCAAAGACTAAGCTGTATAGCAATGGAGTCTCATCTTGACTAAGAACCTATGTGCGGATAAGAGCATGTTACTATATCCATGAAAGAATGGTTGTATCAAAATAAATGGAACCAGTGAATTAACAAACCTGTAGCGTACACACTGTGTCAGTTGATGAAAATATTGTTCCTATAGCTGAAGTGAATCAAAACTTATATCATTTGTAACCGAAAAAGGGTAATATATATGTGTTACCACACAGATTATTTATAATTTCAGTAGCAACAAAATCTGACCAAGATAGTCGCGAGCTGTCAGACCAACAAATCCTAATCTTGGAAACAGCCACCAGCAACCTAGGCCAATAGTAACAAGCCAGAATTTAAAAGTATGGCAGAATTAAAGATGCCATGAATCAGTCAACAATAGCAGGCAACAATATAAACGATTGAATGGAAAATCAAAAAATTGGTTCAAGTATTACCAATTGTGATAATGAGGGTTGATATGAAGACACCGATCACCCCAAACAATATGATTGTTATAAAATTCTGAAAGAATTGCTTTTTCTTGACCTGAAATCTATGCAAGTGACACGGATTAGTCATGTGCTAATAGTTTACTAGACCAATTAACTAGCCAATTTTCAAGAGCAAGATGCAGAATAGTTTGTGCTTACCCTGCATTGAATATTATAGGTGGAAGGAGATATATAAAGAACAGCTCTTCATTGAACCTTAAGATGTGAGAGCTTTTCCCTTTGCTCAGTACCAAGATAAATGTTCCAGAAATGCATCCCTGATAAAAATTAAAACACAAGAGACATTAGATAATTTCTTTTGAAATGGCAAAAGAATCATTAACATTTCAATGGGATATTATAATATCGAAATGGATCCACTTTTTGGATACTAAAGAGCAAGAGCAAGCTTAAGGATCAGTTTAAGTTTGATCTAATTAACTAGGCAAGAGAAAATTGGGTGAACTAGCATTGTGTGAGAGCCCATATCTTTGCACCGCGTAAAAGCAGAGAGTTATTACAATGAGGATGGCAGTGATGGATTCATTAACCCATCGGTTTTCTTCAAGCAAGTGACCAATGAGTAAACACAGGCACAAAACAGCAACAAACACCGTGAGTGGCACCACCTGGCCGTGCTCCTTTGCTGCGTTCCTTGTTAATTCAGATATCATCATCATCATCATCACTAGGGTTCTTTTCTTTTTCCTCGCATGTTTCTTTGATCAAATTAAATAAAAAAATAAATATGCAAAGAAGCAAGCCCGGGAAATGAGGGTCTTGAGTGTTTGCAGTTGGGTTCGACATGTAGAAACGATGCATGCCCTTTTTAAGACACGTACATTACAAGTTCACTTAAACCTGGGAGCACAGAGATTTCGACAAACAAGTGTCATGCTTCCTTTTATGCCTTACACTAGCTAGCCAAGTGACCATGCATTCGCATGGATGGATTCGGAATTTTAATTTTAATGTTTTTTCATGATTCCACCATTTTTTTTTATTGAAGGCTTTATTAGATAATTTGGCTTATATTTTAGTGATATCTATTAATATTAATCAATGATCTAATTTTAATCATATCTACTTTAGGTTAGGTTATAAACCCTTGAGCTTTTTTTTTTTTTTTCCCTTCATAAAAAATTGACATGGCATGGCAACAGTTCGAGATTTAAAAGGTAGTCAATAGGCGCATTTGTTTAGTCAGGATGATGGGCTAGGCCCAGTTGTTTGGAGGCCGTGATTTTGCATGTAGTATGTCGTGGAAGAGGATACGGACATGAAATTTAATTTTGAATTGACAGAAGAAGTATTTTTATGTTTTTTTTTTAATTATTGATTTTGAGTTTTTCGTTTCTAATAAAAAAATTAACAAAACTACTAACTAGTTTTTCATCCACATTGAAGCGATTGAATATTTCTGATTTTTTGTCTATCTCTTGTACATTATATATTAAATTAATATATTATTATTTACTCTTTACTAAAAAAACAGTTAAATAACGATAAAAATCAACAATGGATATGAAGTTCTCGGTATACAATGATGGATTAGTGAATGAGTAATAATTGTTATCGGTTTCTCAATATTCTAGGTTAATAGTTAACGATGGAATTTCAACGATAGAACATTATTATCATTGACTTAAGAAGTAAATTTTTTATACATAATTCGACGGCGCAACACCAACCGAGTTGTGAGGAAATTTAGCAATGGATGGTGCTATCTCGTCTCTAATTTTGAGTGGGATATGAAGAGATTATTTAATAATGGACTAAGTAAATTGTTAAAAAAAAAAAAAAAAGCAAAAAATCAATGATAGACACATATCTTTAGTGATGAAATTGTATCCATCGTAAATTATAGAAAAAATTAGCACAATTTAAAAAATCAAACGAGTGATAAACACTTTTTTTAGCGACGTAATTGTGTTCATCGCTAAAGCTAAAAAATCCCTAAATTTAGGAGAATATTTCTTCTTCCTCCAATTTTCCTCTCCTTCATCCCTTAGTTATTGCCACCGCTCTTCCTCTCCATCCCGGTTAACACAAGCCGTCCGATCGCCCCACCCCATCCTCTCGTCACTTGAAAATCTAGCCATGCTTTGACCATGACTTAGTAAAGCCCCAAACCTTGTTGTCGTGCAAATCATCCGTTCCTCTCTCCCGTTGTTGACAACTTCTTTCTCTACAAAAAGGATAAGTTTCTCTCTTTTTCTTTTACCTATTTGATTTGTTACTAATTTTTATATATGTTAATTGTTAGTAAATATGTTAGAAAACTTGAATTTATGTTATTTGAAATTTAATTGAGTATGCCTTTTATTGGAATTGTTTTGAATTGTTAACAAATTAGGATAAAAATTGAATTATTTTGAAAGTTCTCCTTTGTTCTTTTAATCCTCTAGTTTGCTCAATTTTTAATATATGGCTCATACAAAGCAAACTACACGAAAATCCAATTTCGACAAGGCTTCAAGGAAACGACTAGCCAACATTGTATGTATAATCTTTTTTTGTTTTTTCAACTCCAAATTTTACGTTTGTAATTTGTTCTTCTCTGTTTTACAAACAAGACTTTTTATTTTCTTAGGTTGTGAGCAAGTCAGCCCCGATAACGAGAGGGTGTGAAGAAGCACTACAAATAGAGACACGAAACTATTGCTCTTTGTGAAATCTATAAGCACCAAAAGAGTACCGAAGTCGCTCATCAAAAAAACTCCCATTTCAAAGACCTATTCATGAATTTGAATAGAATTTCAAGATTGATTTGATATTCTAGAGGCATATTGTCTTGGCCTTGCGGGAGGCGATCGAAGCGCAATCCATTCCAAGAGTGTTACTATCATGCCCAAAGATGTTCGACTTGTTAGGAGAATACGTGGATAGAAGGTTTAAAAGCGAGTACAGACCACTAATAAGATAAGGGAGGCAATTGACCCCCTTATTTTTTAGGGAAAAATCCTACTTATATACCCTACAAAAAAAAAAAAATTAATTAAACCCAATTTGTCCGTCCATGTACATGAACCAACCAAACATCTAAACATCAAAATTTTTAAAACCTAATTACGTAAATCTCTTTGACTCTTACCTCTCTTCCTCTCTTATAAATGATTCTAACGAGTTGTATCTTTTTCAATTCTAGTAATATCTTTTTATTTAATCCAATTATTTAATTTGTTTTCATATTTGTATTGTTGTTCTCTCTCTTTTTTCTCCTTTACTGATTACCCTTCTTTTGATTAAGATAAATTAATTCAGAATTCTTAGCAAATTGTTACATGTACTTGACTTCATTTATACCTACATAAATATTAAGCATTATTTTTTTCCTCTTGTTTGAGTAAACAAAAAACACTAATATTTTTTTTTTTTTGTCCTCTATGCCATTGTGAGTGCCTAGCCTTTATGTTTCTTATTTATTTATTTATGAAATGTTTCTTCTTCATTATGCTTATTATTATGACTGGGTAATTATTGCATCTATGATTTATCAAAAGCATATGCTAATATTAATTTATAAATTGTATATTATAAAATTAGTTACAAAGTAAATTGTGCTAAAAGAATTTATTTAATGATTGAGTTAATTGAATAAAATTACGTAACCCATACTTTTTTTGAAGGGATTGTATAACCTATATTGCTACTATTGTGTGGAATTAACTAATATAATCTATATTTGATAACCATTATTGATTCTTTTTTTTTTCTTTCTTTTTTAGTTATGGGTGGGTACTTTAAGAGACATGTGCTTTACAGGTACTTAAGAGAAAAACTATGTCTAAATCTTTGCCACCTATTCAAAACCAAGAAAGTCATAATGAAGAGTTCCACAACATGAAAGAAAAAAAAGAAAAAGTTCTTATGAAGTTGATTTAGCAAATCTTTCATCAAATCCTATACTCGCGAAAACCAATTATGGATTATCATCCTAACATAAGGGATGAAGTTAGAAGCGCATATCTACAAAAAGGACCTTATCCGTGACGCCTCGATCTCGGTCCACTATCTATTACCCAAATAGAAGTGACTAGGTAAGGCACGTCACGCCGACACTACCTAAACCCTAATCATGTCTCGTACGATGTACTTAAGAAATTAACAACACCTTACATAACAAAACTACATATAGAAAATTTTACATGGCATAACTAATTACGAGTAACAAAATATTACAATTAGCGGTTGATTCCATACAAATTTCATACCCCCAAATTACGGACAAAACTTGTTTCGACTTCTCGTGTTACATATGAGCCTCTTAGGAGGAGTCGGCTGCATCCTTACTATTTGGTCCTTTTCCTGTCACATCATAAAAAAATAACGACGAGGTGAGCCAAAGCTTAGTAAGTGGGGTGATGTACGTGATATGCAATGTTTTTCTAACTTCCCATAATATTTATCAATTTTAATTCGGGTACTCTAGGTATTAGCTAGTTTACTCTATTTTTTAATCCAGGTGATTATCAAATCACCTTCTGCTACAACGAAATTATCCCTCGTTGTAGCCACTCGTTAGCAAGAATACATCGCTTAACGAGTGCGGGCACACAACTTAGAGTACGCACATATCTGGACTGCTAATATCCATTTTTCCCGTTAGGTTACCAAACCTAATCATGTAAACCAATTCTCATTCAATTGACTTCTCTCCATTCACCCCACAATACACATGATGCACGTGATGTTATGTGTACCATATTAAACATATCCAACCCATACAAGATCGAGTATACTTATATCCCTTATCATCATGTTCTTCTCGTTAGAACAAAATACCAACATATGGTATTGGTTGAATGATGGGTCTAATTATGTGTGTAAATACTTCACTTTTCTTTTCTTTAGTAATTTTAGTTGTTAAATCGTTGTACACTTGAATTGTATAATTCTTAGTAGTTACATCAAATTTTAATTATATTAAGGTATACTTTTCTCGCCTTCATTTTATATATATTTGAACCTAATTAATCATTTATTATGTTATCTTGGTGAAAGAAAAGGAAACCGAACAAGTATGGAATAAAAGGGTGATTTTTAAGTGACCGGTGACTTATACGGGCGAGGACACACCCGTGTGATAGGCCATGTAACTCTCCGACTTGAAGAAAACAAATTTCTTTATTACACGAGAAAGGACACGCCCGTGTGTAAGACCGTGTAACTCTCTGTCTCGAAGAAAAACATTTTTCTTTATTACACGGGCAAGGAGACGCCCATGTGGAAGGCCGTGTAACTCTCTAACTCCGAAGAAAAACATCTTTCTTCATTACACGAGAAAAGACACGTCCGTGTGGGAGGCCATGTAACTCTCTAACTTCAAGAAAAAATGCATTTCTTAATTACATGGAAAAGACGCGCCTACGTGGGAGGCCGTATAACTCTCCGGCCGAAATTTTATTCATGAAAACCCTAAAATTTCATTTTTCTTTCTTTCCTACTTCATGTTTATTCAAGTCCATACATGTCCCAAATCCACCCACCATGTTTTAGTCAATCATGCCCATTAGTTACACTCATCCATACATGGATCTAACCTAGATACAAACTTTCCAAACTCAACAAATAATCACACATCTAATCACACAATCAAACCATAGCAACTACCAATCATGGAACAACTTGACCAACATAATCAAGCCAACAAACATCACAACATAAAACACAA